TCTTACTGCCCTTCCTAATACAAGAATGAAGTAGGCAGACAAGAAGCTCAGCAGCTCTCCAGGTGAGCAACTCCATTGCTTTGCATCTCCCACTATTGGAAGCTTAAAGATATTTGACTTTTTCTCATCAGTTTAAGCCTATGACTCTTTGTCCCTTTTTATGTGGTTTTGCAAGGCAGCCTCCTCTCTGCAGCTGTTTTACATATTTTTAAGCTTTTTATACTCCTCCCAAAATGCACCTGAGGAATCACAACATGCCCTGGAGCCTTTCCCCAGTGCTATGGCTGTGGTAAAGAAATCACTACCATTGCTGTTGTTATGGTCCCTAACAGATTAGCACTTCCTCGTTACTACTTTTATTGGCAACATTCAAACCCATGTACTAAAAGTCTGAATCTAATAAAGAAATACCCAGACTGCATTTGTATTTGTCATATTCAATGAGCCAAAAAATTAATTAGGTTGAAGACATTATCATTGGCAGTAGCACTCCAGATCACTAATTGACATTGCTTACTACTGCAATTTTAATTATTTCCTTTATTGCCAGTCAAGTCTCCTCCCTCCAAGAGTTGCCATGAGGTCCATCACTCATGTTGTTTGAAGCCGTGTTCAATGAACATGATTCTGGACACACAATTAGGGGTCCTCAAGCAAAGGAATTGCTGAGAGCAGATTTGGTCTAACTGATGGCTCTCTGCAGCAAATGGGAAAAGCTCTTTTCTTCTTCAACAGAGCTCACAGAAGCAGGGGCTCCATTTCTCCCAGGGTTGCACCACAGCATTTGCCACCCAGAAAGGCGCAGAAAGGATTTTCCAGAGTTAGGGATATTGACTCCTTGTTGAATTTCAGAGGAGTTTGCAGGTTGTAACTTCCCCCTTACTCTTTTGGGAATAAAGATTAAAATCCCCAATGGTATCATGATAAGGAATGTAGCTATGGAAGGAGATTACGGCATCTCCTTTGGCAGCAGAGCTCTCATGATTGGCAAAATTCTGTAAAAATGAGCAGCTCCTTAGAAGGAGAAGCCTTTGGGCACCAAATGGCACGAAACAGTAAAGGAATCACAAGAACAAAATGCAACAAATACACAATATCTTGCTGAACTTGATGCTAAAAGCATCAGAGCTCTCAGCACTAACTCGGAGGATTGGTACCCGAGACAAAAGGTGGTGGGGCCGAGAGGCAGGTGCTGTGTTTATAAACGAGGTAAAACACTGATGCAGTCACGGCATGGATTGGAGCCGTGATTGAGCGGAGGAGCAATCTGCCACAGCGCGTTCGGTGAGCTGCAGGGATGGAATAGACGGCTTTGCAAAGTGCTTCGGAATGGTAAACTACACGGTTAAACCATACGGATGTCTGCAGCACCAGGAGCTGTTGGACAACTCTTGTGTTTCTATCTGTCAAAGGGAAAACCTTTCTGTACAGCTCATTTTTTCCAAATAACTAAAGTAAGGAATGGATTTGCATTAGACCTGCATACTTCAGTTTCATCTGAAGCGGTTTATGCTGTATTAAAAACTGCAGAACGGACTAACACAACAGCTTACATGACTTGCTTGCCCTGCTGAGCCTTCCTTGGAGCCTTGTTTTGCTCCCATGCACTGTAGCCACTGCCATTCATCCCAGTTTTCAGTCATCAATTTAACTGAACAGATAAAACCTTCTACCTTCTCTCAATAGAGAGCTAAGAGACTAGTTTATTATTTTACTGAGTGAAGCTCAAGCTTTGAGGAACAAAGGAAATGAGTAAAATGAAAGGAAGAACGGGGTAAAAAGCTAAGAAATATTACTAATTTTGCCGTAATTGCTTTCTCTGTGGATGATTATGATCACTTCTGGTCCACCAGCTTCTGAAGTGTACACTTTACAGAAAAGATGGAGATTTTTCCAACTCATTGGGCCATTTCAGAGCGAGCAGTGAGGAAGCACTCAATAGGAGTTGGACTTGGCAATTTATTCAGGACAGGTTAATGAAACTGTCTCTTCTGGACAATGCAATGCAAAAACGCAGAGGTATGGCTAAGTGTGGTACCCTTAATTCTACATTAAATCCACTATTCCTGCAACTGAGGCGCTCTTTGCACTTCCTCCTCTATTACAAGAAATATTACTCTTAGTGCACTGTAACTTCCCAAATAAACGCAGCAACAAGGCTTTGAAGGGGTAGAGCAGCAAGAGAAAAGCTGTTTAGGTCCTAATAGGAGTTAATGAATGCACTGAGTGGAATTAAGACTTTACACGCAGCAGAAATAAGTCAGAAAAGAGTTCAGATGGTTCATAACTCAGAAATGTTATCATGTGCCTTTCAATCATGTGAGCAATTCCATTAAACTAATCTGCTTTAATTGCATTCAGCTCAGCGAGATTACTCATATGCTTAAAATCAAACAGATGATTAATTATTTCCCTAAAAGAAGGCCCGGTTGGGAAGAATGGATAATGCAAACAAACGTTGTATGTATGCATTTAAATGCTTCAAGGTATTTAATTCAGCACTTTATAAACCAAAATATTGAAATCGGTTGGAAATCTGTTCCCTGGATGCAAAGCATTCTCAGAAAGCAGCATCTGAATTATTGCACCAAATTGTTTTGCTAAGAGTCAATAACATCTAACAAAAGGTTCAAATATAATGAATCACAACTAAGTGAAACAGCTCATATTCTATAGACGTGCTCAATGTGCTTTGGAAAACAATACAAAAAGCATGCTCTTAGGTAAATTCAAGCAGTAAATAGGGTCTAACAAGAATCCTTTGCTCTGTAATCTGCTCTTGCAGAATTAAAGTTTCAGATGCTAAAAAAGTGATCGTTTTCACACACAAAAAAATCCCTACAACAACCAAATGCTGTTCAGGCTGTCACAGGAGCCTATTGTACATCAATTAGCAACTCTGATCATGTATTTATTAATTATTTATATACATTTTGCCTGAAATGTTGGGGTATTTTGAAGTTTATGCATCATATAAACTTACCCTCTTATGCTGCTGCTTTAGCTTATCCTGTATTTTATTTTGGGGGTGCTATTATTATTTACTTTAAACAAGCAAGATGCTGACTGATATCTCTGATATCTCCATTGAGAGTGTGAAGAGGTCAATCAGCCCATGAGGTACTGCGCTTTAAACTGGTGAAATGTGAATGGGGATGATGAATAGTTAATTACTTCTGTGATAGAAAAGGAATTCTGTTCACAAATTCCTATTCTATTTGGCCTTTAAACACGAAGTTCGATGGATGCTGCCTTCAGAGCTCACCCTGATACTTATTCTGTTCTTGCATTGGAGTCAGCATTTGGGAGGGCCTGTTGCCATATGGAAAATGAGGAACAATTACTCTAAATAATTACATCAGTTTATTGCTGTCTGTTGCCAAGAGAAACAAGCCGTGTTGGTGATATCCACTTGCGTTGCCAAGTAACTTAATCTTTGGGGAAACTAAATAGGCTCCAGCACTAGCACTTCTCTAACCATAAATATCTGTTCTAACTGATAGCACCACGGCTCGTAACTGCATCTTTGTTCTGATAATTTCCCAGCGTAATCGTGGGTGATGGCCTCGGAGGTGTGAGTTATCACATGGGGCTGGAGATGCACAGAGGTGGTATCTGGGTACGAGCTGGGCAGTTTAAGCTCCCCTCACAGTCACCGGGGAGAAATCAGAACTTTTAAGGTAAATTAACAGACAAGATCAACTGCATGGTAGAAACCCACGTATCTCCATTGCCCAGGAGTCCAGGTGAAGGTGGTGCCAGCTTTACTGAGCAATAACATTGGGGGAGATGAATCCAGGCCAGGTGCTCTCCCATCCCAGCCATCAGCTGAACCAGAAGCCAGTCCTCGTCAGCGTAATTAAACTTTGCTTTGGCAGCAAAGCCTGGCAAGAGGTGACCCTGTTCTATAAAACCTGTAGCATTTTCAGACTGCAACTGCTGTTCGTGCTTGAAATCGGCAGCAGTGCGAGGGTGAGGGCTCTTAGTGAGGTGCTTAAGGGCAGATATAATAAACACTGGCCCGAGTTAGCAAGGAAAGGCAACCTGGCACTGCCACCTCCTCACCTCCTGCCACAGGCACTGCTGTTCTTCTCCAGCCACTTTTGCTGTGCCTTTCAGTTCCTCATGACTTGTACATTCTGAAACCCTGATGTCTAAGAGCTATCACCCAAATTGCTGCAGACAGCAACTTACTGTTTCTCATCGTGCTTTCCGCTAAAGTTTCATCCCAGCTTGAAAAGACAGCTCTGAAAGGCCTCTTTTTCCCCTCTGAAGTTTATTGCATTGTGCAGACTTCCCCTTTTCTCTCTTTGGCTTTCTGAAACCAGGAACACAGCCCTAAAAAACCCACTTCTGCCTTATGTACCACTTCACTGCAGCAGACAACCACAACCTGGTGACAAAGTGCTTGCTTGTCTCACCAAAATCACCTCCCATTTTAATTCAGCCGTGTTTCTAAGGAGCGCTGGATAAATTCTTTCTAACATACTGCAGTTTCCCCCACAGCCAGTATCAAATGAACTGTTCAGATGGATGCCTGACAGCCCCTTTTATTTGGGGCTTATACTACACACAGCATTTTGCAGTCTTCAGTGATTCCTCCCTGAGCCAATTGAACTTGTTGATTCAAAAACTACCTCGTAATCCTTGCTGACAGCGACCTGACAGAAACTACAGAGCTTATTGTGCTTTTAGGATTTCTCTGTACTCTGTCACTGATTCGTTTTGCTGGGCTTATCCACTCTCCTATGTTAACAACCTCTAATGAACATCTGGGATCCCTTAGTGCTTGGAGGCAGGGTTTTCACTATAAAAATATGGCTGTCAGAACACAACCCTCCTTTGCTTTGTTCTCTTCTTTTTTTGGAAAACAGTACCACAGACAGAATGATTTCATGCTAGACTTACATATGTCTTACCTGTATGAGGAATACTGGTGGCAAGAAAAGGAAATCCAGAGTTACAAGGGCCTTATATTTCTCTTATTTCCAACAGCCCAGTTGCATCCCCTGTACATGAAACTCTAATTCACCATGCCTCACTGCTATGCTGAATCAGGGTATAAATGCCCTCAAAGATCTGATTTGGACGGCTATTTAGACACTTTTCATTTTAAATTCCTTCTGAGGACCCATTTCTGTAATGGCTCCTACAGAAAAGAGCAATTCTGTGTGTCCTGTTTACCTTCCATCATATTTGATTGAATTAATGTAGGTCTATGAGGAAAGCTGTTCTATTGGAGCATATTTCTGCTTAACCAACAATTTAATGATTGAATGCTTGCAGATATATCTTCTGACTGATTGTCATTTTTCTCCACCACCATCACCTTGATTAGGTAAAATCCTAAAACTTTATTTTAAAAAATTACTTAGCACAAGGAGCATCTCTTAGCCAGGACATCTGGTGAACGCACATTTTCAGCACACAGCTCCACCATTCCAAATCTACAGCCAATGATGCTTGAACTAAGAACATAAACTCGTGATTAGATGGATTTCATCTTCTTCCTGGACCAGCCATTCATAAATTGTTTTACTCATATGCACACACATACTTTTCTTTAATAAAATTAATGTGTATTGGTGTTCAGGGTACAGTGTGTGTTGAATCAATTCTTTGTAATACAAGTAAGGCAATATCCAACTACACAGAGCAATGTGTGCGGCTCCTCTTCTATTTATGGGGGCTGTTTCTTTGTCTTCGTAATTCTAACAGTTATAGAAACTGGCACTGACAATATGCAGTTATGTGCTTCCTGAGCTCCTATATTTCCTTTGTATTTCTGAAGGTCACGGGGACTCAGCCAAACCTGAAACAGTCCTTTTAATTCCCGGTCTTTTCATTTCACTACAACGTAATTATCTTATAGATTTTTGTGTAGACCTATTTACAGTTTTTCTTCTCCTGCTGGGTAACTATACAATAACTAAACTAACTTCAATTAGGTGACTGTCACCAATATTTAAAACTTAATGGCGTTTTAAAAATTACATCAGTAATCCAAGCATAAAAATGATTCTTTATGATACCATTTGAGAGCACTGGCACCAAATCCTTATCATGCAGCAGCCTGTGACTCAGAGGCATTAAACACATATTCCTTGAGTTATATACAGTGTCCTTTTTGTATTTGGATTAAAGCACCTTTAGGAGACACAAAATGGAATATTCAGCGTCTTACTTTAAACTCAGAGTATTAAATTGTCTTCTTAGCTGACCATATGTAATCCTATAGATTTTAGACATCAGGGTTTGTTCTTGTATATTCAGATGTAGTGATGTGTCTACCCTACATTTCCTCTCTAGCCTTGCTAATGCAGTATTTTAAAGACAATTTGCTCTCAAAGAGGCCACCATCCCCAGAGGCTCAAGGCACCTTGATATAAAGACGCACTTGAATTTAAGCACACATTTAAATCCAGCATAAATCTGCGTGCTTTGCGGTATCAAGAGAGTCTTAAAGATAAGCATATGCCTAAATATTGTGCTGAACTGGGCTGGAAACAAGGCTTATCCCTTGAAGGAGCAGAATAGTTGTAATGTCTCAGTACAGATTAGCGATGCTCCTGGAGATTCATCTTCAAAGAGAGCAGGAAGAGGAAAGTGTCCAGTAATAAAAGGGAAAATCATGGATCAGCAAATGCAGGAGACTGTAATAAACACTTCAGGTCATGCGGAACCACAGATTTCATCCTATACGACATTCAGTTTTCATAAAACATAGGTTAACTATCAGCACGATACGCTACCTTTAACTTTATTTGATTTTACTGAAGAGGAATAACATCAGTGTTCTGGGGGAAGCCCGTGTTACGTGTCTCTATGATATAACACTGCTAGTGTGAGATTATTAACTTCTTATAATCCCATGCGAATGAGAAAAACTCACTTGAAGGCATTGGCGTCTCCGTGGACCTTATAGTTGTCTGCACTGATTCTTGAGATAACTCTTGTGACCGCAATGAGAATGCCAATATTGACCTGTGGAAGAAGGAGAAGGAACAAGACTTGGTCAGGAAAGTAAATACAAACAGCGTCAGTGCAAACTGCCCTAGGAAAGGGCCGTACAAATACAACAGAAAATAGGAACTCTGTGTGTTGTGTTTATTTGGCAAGAGAGGTTTCCAGTTTTGGATGGGTACAGCTCAACCTCATCAATGGATTTGCCCCTGCCCACAGTGGGCAGTTCTTGCTTGTGCTCTCTATCCTTGTCTGTTCAGGGTAAGGATGCATCGATACATGGCTTCACAGCTGAGTAAGTGCTCAGGATCCCCACTGTACAAATAAATACCCTTATAATCTACTCATTAGACAAGAACTTCAGTGACCAGGGCCATGTGTCTGCACGCTCTTTGGTTTCCTGCTAGTGCGTGAAGAGACTTCAGAAAGCACCTTTCTCAATAGGCCTCACAGCGTACAATTCCTGTTTCTCACCCAAGTCTGCTTGCAATGTAAGCACAAGATTGTTTTAAAACAGCAGTGAGGAAAACACGTTGAGCCTGAACACTGCTGTTCAAAAGCCCTGCTCCTTTTGATGTCAGGCCCAGCAGAAACACCAAGAAAATGAAAAGAACTCCCACCAGAAAAGCAGGAAATCTTGAAAAGACTAACACTGAAAGTGTCTAACAAAAGAGTTTGCTCTGGAGTCACAGGTGAAGAATGAAGGAAATCTTTATCCCTTAAAGGAGATGTGGCAAAGATGATCTTGCTGTGCAAAGACCTTGGGTTTAAAGGAAAAAAAGAGGAGAGAATATGAAGGTGAAAGATGTATTCCCTCTTCCTGTCCACAGTTACACATCAGCTACAAAGATGATATTGATCATCAAGGTAAGAAGGGTAGAACAAGAATCTTCTGAACTACAGAACAAATGGTAAGAAGACTTCAAAATAGCCATGTTGCTCAGTTACAACTCAATAATCATACTTTATTTTGACTCACTCTAATTCTGAGGATGAGAGGGTGAATTCCTTTGCTATTATTTCAGTAAGTAAAACATAGAAGTATTGCCACAGCCCTTCTAATGGGAAACCAAACTACAGCCACTGACTTGTTCCTCCAGTGATCTTTTTTGGCATCTGATGTAAATACTTTGCAAATCATTCGAATAGGAGAATGCATAGCTGGTGAAATGCTTATTATGCTTTAACCTATATCAGAATGTTCAGACCAGGATAATAAACATTGCAATAAGGGAACTGAATATAGTTCCTATTTTTTACCTTTCTGATAGCCCAGATTACCTGACATTGCAGTCATTTTGCCTTAAAATTACACAGGAACTTAGAACATTTTTCCTTGCAGGTACGGGCCACACTCTACTTTAAAAACACATTGCCAGTAACACTAATGCTGCTTTGCTAACTCACTGGGCTCCTTTCAGAGCAGCCTCTCCAACCCCAGGCCAGTCTCTGCAAAACCAGCAGGAGCTGCCAGCTCCCATTACTGCGGACTTGATCCAAACTGGGGCCCATGGAAAGGTCCCAGTGACACCAGGGAGCTCTGGCTCACTCCAGTGACAGCTTCATCTGACTACAAATTGACCTGGAACAGAGTTAGGTGAGTAGAAAGGACCTCTTTCTATATCTTTTCTCATAATAGATTTGTCAGACCGGACACACTGAGACCCGTTCTTTCCCTCCCTTAGGTTTTTTTTGCAGGTTTTCACCTAGATTTCCTCCAGGTCTCATGAGATTTTTGTCTCTTTTTCAGCAGCGCAGTGCAGAAATCCCATGTGCAAACCCCTCTGATGTGGTGTGTTGCAGCCTAGCCAAGAAAAGGCTTGGCAGCACAAGGGAACTAAAAAAAAAACCACGGATAAAACATATTGCCTTAATTATATCCATTGACCAGCTTTCCTCTAAATCCACAAGCTATTTTAGGCTCCACTTCGGTTTCGGGCAATGGTACAGGGAGTTGTAATTGACTCTTTCAGCCCCTCATGCTGCGAGTTAATTTGGTCCTTACCATGACATTAGCATTAGTTGTTGCAGCCCATTGTAGGTCACCTCAAAAATCATTACTGGGTATCACTCATTTCCAAACCCAGCGCATCAATTAAATTAGATCGATGTTAAAATTCGGGAGACTGATTTTGGAAAGCCTGATTCCACTCTGAGCTCTCCCGGAGCAACTGCAGATGGAATGGGCTAAAATGGAGTTATTTTAGACTTCTGTGGACATGGCTTCATGTTAATGCATGAGTCCCACACCAGTCAGAGCTGAACATCACAGCAAACCTTGGAGGCTGGAATGGAAAAAACCTTGCACGCTTTCTTGCTGGTTAAATATGAACAAATTTAGTTTCAAAATAATGAAGGAATTTAATTTTAAAACAGCAGAAGTGCTCATAAGTAAATGCTGATAAGCAAAAATGAGATGTTTAGCAGCTGTGGTCTGTTCATTTGTGCTCCAAATCCACCTCAGCACTAAAGCATCTTCTTGATTTCAGTGACACTCAGGAATTCTGCAGTCTCAGGGCCTTTAAACACTATGAGTCCAATTCTGTCACCTTTTCCACGATGAATGATGCCTAATAAGTGACATGAATTGTACTTTTCAGCTACCTGCAGAGTACGACACTGTTCAACACAGAAATTATCCCAATTCTGCACAGGCACATAAAGGTATGAATAAATAACATGAGGCAGCAGAATTTATTAAGTCACATATGATCAGCAGGTATAGGGAAGAGAATGTTTATTTAAATATTGAGCATTGGGAAGCAAGTGTCAACTGAAGACACTGATGGCCATCTCAGCCTGGGACCCAGGTTGCAGGGAGTCCCACCTGAAGACAAAGCTGATGCCCCCACAGCACAGAATTATTAGCAATATACTAATTAAAATAATTTAGCTCCACAACAATGCTGTTTATCTACAAGACTAGTGAAAAAAACCCACCAGGAAAATAACTACGCACAAGGAAACCAGCAGAAAGGACTTGTCACCACAGCCCAGCATCTCCCCTGCAATGGCTGGTTCCCTGTCTGCAGCACAGCCACTGCTCCCTGGGCACAGATGCTTGCCACAGAATTTCCTTAATTCTGCCATATCTATAGAAACACACCAAGGCAGCAGATGGCTGATAGCAAACAGAGCCTGCTGCCAGGAGTTTTAATGTCTTGATCCAAAAATCCAGGTGCTTTGGCAAGTTCTGTGGGTTTCTTTTTTTAACTGAAGGTGTCCCAGGCCAACTGTGGCTGAGATTCGTTTGGTTTTCAAGTTAATTGCAACAACTTTTTTGCAATGCTCTCTTAAGAGGATGCTATAGAGGCTTGGGTGTTGTAGTTTGGAGGGCGGGGAAGTGTGATCTTTGACCCTTAAGATGCAGATAGAAGCCAAAACACCTACACGTAGAAGAGACTCTTTTCTTCACACATCCCTTGACTCACGCCCCAAGGAAAGAGCACTTTAGGTATGAAAATCCATATAGGGCTGGGAAGTCCTGTGAACTACTCCCTGGAAAAGCATGTGTGAGTGTTTTTCCCAGCCATGTCCCATCACATCGCTCTGGTTCAAGGCTCCACGATGTCTATGTTGCTGTGGGGCTACGGCAGGACTGAAGCAGACGGTGCCTGCCTTGGCCCTAGGGAGTGGACGTTGAAAAGAGCAGCCCCCCTGTTTCCTTCACAGCATAATCCTTGTCTTGGCAGAGAGAAACCCAGGATGGAAGTAGTCAAAAGCTCCTTTCTGAGAAGTATTTTCAGAGCTAAACACTGGTTCATGCAACCAGCGGGTAATTTGTTATGTAAAGAGCGCAGGCACACACCAAACAGTGTTTAGCCTTGTTATTTCCCTATAGACACCAACACATTTTTCAGCTAGCATATTCGATGCCCAGAGAGAATAATTTGTCACTAGCTTGCTGCTATTTTGGGCAGAGCTGGGCTGAGACTATTTAACAAATTGCTCTACGTGGATCAACCTTGTGAGCTCGCTCTTTCTCTCTCTCAAAATATTTGTATCCCTACAAGAATATAACTTGAGCTGCACGACCATCATATATCATAGGCGAGAGCCAGTTAAACCCTCACTGCCACTGGCAAGCAGCTACGCATGCAAATTGTTGAAGGCTGTGCTCACTCAGGTGAGTAAGGGCTTCACTATCTGGCATCTTTATTATTATTATTATTATTATTATTAATTATCATCATCATCATCATCATCATCATCATCATCATCATCACTATTATCATTACTATTATCATTACTATTATTGTTGTTATTGTTATTACTGTTATTATTGTTATTATTGTCCCTTTGGCCAGCAGCTGGGAAAGATCTCATTTTACTGGTTGCATCTCATTTTCACCTTTGCTGCTGAAGAACGGCCAGAAATTGAGTGCTAATGTGAGAAGGAAATATTTTAATATTGGTCTCCAATCTTCAATAGCTACAAATCTTTGAGTGTAAACTCACACACAAGGTCCAAGGTACAGGCCAGCAAGGAACTGAGTTTGCTGGACCCCAGTCTGGAGCTGTTTAGCCAGCTCTAATCCTGTGATCAGCATTTCTTAGTTACATGAATATGCCTCCACTTGGGTAAAAGGAATTCTGCCCTTACAGCACAGAGACTTTCCAGTGCTGCCATTAATAATTTGACTAAAATGCTAACACGAGGCAATTTCTGCCACATCAATATAACAACGTGTTCATTGTTTAATATATGTGTCTGTAGCCTACTTTTCCAGAGGCTGTATCTTGGGTGGAAGATGCTGGACTGGGCTAGGCTGATTTTGCTGTCTCCCAGGCAAATGTTGGGGTGTCCACTCAGCTGCAGTGTAAAATTGCCCACGATGGAGAGGTTCAGAGCCACCTTCTGCTTGCCAAATACTCATAGAGATATGCAATGGTAAATATGAGATCTATACATACAGCTCTCCTTCCTTCCTTTGGCTTGTGAGCAAGATTTGTGGGGTTGTTCTGAGGGATAAAATCTGGGCAAGTCTCTTGGTGCTTTCCATGGGAATCCTAGCTCTCCTAGGGAAGTACAAGGTACAGACAGTGGCTCCTTTTGATGCCCCTCCATGCAAATAGTTGGGATCTTATTTTACCTGACCCCCCCTTAAACGTCACAGCAGCCAGACTCTGGTCTAGATTTGGGCTCATGCCTTTAAAATCCCGCCAAAGCTTTAAACACAACCTGATTTCACTAATCAGTGAGTCCATTTCTACGCCACTCTGAAATTATGACCCGCAGCAAAAAATCATAGATAACCTGATCAATTAAAGTATTGGAAACAGGGCTGAAGAGGAATAATCTCCCACTTAATCCCTGCAAACACCCCTGCCTCCTTCAGTAATCATAGTGATTAAGCTACAACTCACTGTAATTTAATGCGTGGGCAATAATTAAACTGCTGCAGAGCATTTGTGTATCGGTGTCGGAGCCATGGACCTGCATCCTCCTCGGAAAGGCGATGTGCATTGTGGATGGTGGAGGTGTTCATGGCAGCCGCCTGGACCCCATCAAACTCAACTTCACAGCCCTGCCTTGATCCAGCCAAACCTCTGCACCTGACATCAACCCAAAACCAGGGGAACAGCACAAATTCCCTATCATGGTAAGAATACAGGTATGGAGGAAGCCTTTTCTCTTCGCCAGAGCTCACCCAAAGGGCTCATGCTGCTGTTTTAACCCATCATCTGAGGGCACCTCCAAAAGCAAAAGCTTCAAATACCAGCAGGGTAGAATCAGCCTTTCAGCTTTTACTGGTGAATATGAAACACAAACCACACCATTTGATCTTTTGGGTGATCTTTCTGAAAATCCAGTCTCCCAAAATTTACTTGGTTCCACACAGTTATTCATGGCCCCAGCAGGGCTGTTTCGGAAGAGGGCTGTCCCAGTATGTTAGCTTGTATCTGTGTCATGGGATGGTGAAATGAATAGTGTGAGAATTAATGTGCATAAACTAACACACAACTGTGCGACACAAAAACCAGAAGAGGAACAAGGTAATTCTGCAGCACCCATCTCTGTTGTTTCACTGGCCCAAGCACTGATGTGAGACCTTCAGCTGGTTCTGCTGGGTGCCCTACAGATGTGCAACGAGAATACAGCCATGGTTTCACCTACCAAGATTACAAACAGCAGCCATGGTTTCACCTACCAGGATTACAAACAGCGCCGGTGCCACAAAAGCCCAGATTGCTCCATTCTCCAGCGAGAGCCAGCAGCTGCAGAGAAAAATCAGAATTGTTTGGGATGAAACGCAGTAATTTAATTAGTAATGTTCTTAATTAAAAAAGGAGACTGAAAGAGATAAATTTTAAGAACAAGAGACGTGATGGAGCATCAGTAAGAAGCTCCTTTTCCCCTCACACTCGGGGAATCCGAGGCAGGATCTCATTTTGATGTGTATCTCGCAGTCAGTGACAGCCATCTGCCCCAGCACGCCTTCAAATAGCGTTAGGGGCGGAAAGATTGGAAGAAAGGAAAGGTTTTATTTGCTATTCTTTGCTCTCGTGTCCTGTGTCACAGGCAGTCATTTCGGTGCTGTGAGCACTGTCATTGCAGCAAGAGACAAATTGAAGCCATCCCTGCCTTGCCTGGCTGGGGCTGAGGGAAGGCAGGGAAACGCCATCAGCCTCACACGTCCTCCCTGCAGCAGCGATGATAGCAGCTGCTTCACCACGCAGAAACAACCCTTGCTCCTGGTCTTTTGCTCTCATTATGGTAGGATTGAACTGTACAGTGTTTTCTTCGATAAATTTGCTTTTTCTTCTTCCAAATTAGACAGGAACTTAGTTTTCAAAGTTAGTAACGACATCCATATACTAGATCTCCTTAACTGCAGTTTTCTTCAAAAGATTAAATGTCTTTAATCAGAGATCACTCTCATCTTGTCAGGAACGTTTCAGCCCACGCTTTGTGCATGGGGTGAGCGGGGAGCTCACTGCAGGGGGCCTTGTGAAGGGAGGAACGGGCAAAACATCTCAGGGGCTTTTTGTGCATCACCTCAGCAGCGAGAAGCAAACCAGAGGCTGCTAGGACTAAGAATGTGCCTGTAAAAGATGGTGTCTTTGCAGGCTGTTCCCCCTACTCCATAGCAGGATCTTGCAGAACCACAGCCCTGGTAACAGATCGATGGGTTTTGCTCCCCATCAGGTCTTTCATCCTTCTTGTACCTGGAATGAAGACATTTTCATACTCACTTGCCAGTTTCTCCATAGCTCTCTAGGGAGGATGTTGTGGAAATTACACAAACCACCAGCGGGCAGCCTGTAGAAAGGCAAAATCAGTGGCAACATCAGTAAGAAAAGGATCTCTTCCAGTAAGCCCTGCAGGTTCAGCTGCATTTTGCGTGGACAACAGAGCAGCTCAGAGCAATTATAGAACTGAGCCTAATTCAGCATCCTCCTGCAGCTGTGTAATACAACATGTTTTAATCAATTAATGTCAGACAAATAAAATGACTTTTCAATAACAGCTAAATGGAATTAGTGCTAATTTCATTAACAATCACAGTCCTTTCTCAGCCTGGTTCTAGCTTATGCAATTTCTGTCTCTCATTATTCAAGCGTGATATCCTGTAGAGCAAAATCAGGCTTATTTTAACCACTTTCCCCCAGCTAGGTACACCTTGTTCAAGAATTCAGAACCATCTAGAAAACAAAGCTGGGTTTCTGACAGGGGTGCATGACAAGCAGGAAATGGTGACATTCAGTTATCTACAGCACTGTGCACGGCAGCGAGAGACAGCAGCAAATTCAGATCCCGCTCAGACGCCCAGCCAAGACTCATTTTAACATCAATCTGTAATGGCTCTACAAGAGTCCCTGTTTAAAGCAGGCTGTGCTTCCAGGTGGGCTTTGACAGCTCCTGTGTGCTGCATCCCGGGAGCTGCAGGAGTGCTTTTGGGATTACAGAGGTGGACAAGGATGCTGCTGCTGTCGGGGGGTGCATCTCTGCCCCCAGCACTGCCATGGCCTGTGGTGCCGCTTTAGCACCGCTTTCCAGGGCAGGAGATGGAGAGGAAGCACAGGTTTGTTGCCAACAGTTCTGAATGCAGTAAAACCTCATCCCTTTAAATATTAAGTGATTCTGTGCTAATTCCCATATGATTTAATAAAATGGGAAGGTTTGGGCTTTTATCATCTTATGGAATTTAATAACCAGGTCCCAGACAGAGTATTAGACGTGACAGCTTAAAGTTTCAATTTTCTTCTGGATTCCTCAGCTTTTCTGCATGAGGCTTTTACAAAATTCTCTGACAAGCAACTTCTGCTTAATCTTACCAATATCATCCTCTGCAAAGATTTCCTGTACTGGCAGAACCCTAATTTTTGGAAGAAGCGTTTTCATTTTTTAATGACTCTGGCTGGAGGCACCCTGCATTTATAAATAAGATACTCAGCAGTTAAGCAGCAGCATATACAGGTGTTGTTTACGTCTTAGACTTTGAAATCCATTCTGGAGGATGGAGTTTAATATCCCATGAACTTGATGCTGCTCTCCCATGCTTGTCTACATCAGGAGTAACCCCTTAGAAGTAACATTTGTGTAAGAACCTAAGCAAAGGCAAGATTCTTGTTTACTGTCTCATTTCTCTGTGTTGGAAAGGAAAACCCTACACACATTTGAACGTCAAGAACAACGATCTTCAACAGAGCAATTAAACACAGACATAAGTCTATCTGCTGAAATTCGGTCTGCCATGGGTATGTGAGTGACCTGGACTGAAGACTCACAGCCCCAAGCACATCCTTCGTTGCTGAGCAGACCCTGTGCACTGGCACCGTTTGTCTCCTGGTGCCAGCTGCCTTCCCCATCAGGAATTTGTCACTGAAGCAAAAACACCGGTGCCCAACTTACTCTCCTTTATACTTCTTTTTTATTATTTCCAAGTCAAATGCTGGATATTCAAAGGATTTAGCATGGCTCTCTGTCAATTTTAAATGGCAGCGAAGAAGAAAATTAAATACAGAGTTCCTTAGGAAGATAATAAAACTTAGGCAGATGAAACATAGAGCAGTCATCTGCATAAAAAAGAGCTGTTAAGTCGGTGAGAACAAAATGGTCTGCAGCCCATAGCGCAGCGTTTGCCTTTTCTTTGCGTTAACAAGGTATTAAATGGATAATGACAACGGAGGCAGAATCAAGCTTTTGTTGCAGTGAAACTGGAGCATTTTTCCTTTAAGAAACAACTATTCAGTAAATTCCATAAAGGTTGGGAATATATATTTAGCCTAAGGGGATCATAAGATTTGATCTGGACTGAAGAACTCGTATGGATTATATATCATACACAAAATAAGTGTGTTTGCTTTCTCTTTTGTCAGCAATAACTGTATAAAAGCTGTGGAGTTTAGTCTACACCCATAATAGGCGATGTTATGTTGTGCTGGCACTGGTTATCGTCCATGAAAGAATTATGGCCATGGGTTTTTACTGTATCTGAATGTTTTCTCAGTTAGCAGATGCTACAAATATGCTCACCAGCCCTCCTCCAAATTGCCAGATTTATGATGCAATAGAGCGTGCTTTCCAGCGCACAGAACCACATCAAACTGTTGGAGCGCACCTTGCTGGCCGCTGATCGATGGCCCCGGTGCCGTCTGTGCCTCTGCAGCCCTGGAGCAACACAGCATCACATTCAAACAGGGTAAATCAGCCGCACGGAGCCGTGTGCTGCTGCGGCTCCAGCTCTCCGGGTCCCCACGCCGGCTAATTTAAAGCTACCTCCCCCAAAATCAGCATCGAAATCCAGCCTGCAGAGTGGGCACAAACTCCCAATACCTGGCACAGGAAGGCAGATAACACAATCCTTACTCAGGCAAAATTTTCCCTGAATCCAGCCCAAATACAGCCACTAGGGTGAAGCCTAAAATGCACGGCAGCCAGGCCCTCTTTTTCAGCACTAAACTTCACTTCTAAGCCATTTGCTTGATGTTTCTGAGGCACTCATGATAAATACAGTGGAAAATGCCTGTAAATCTGTATGTTGCATTTTGAAAGCTTCTTCTCTGCATAGTAAAACACCAGACACACTATAGAAACTCTGTGGCAGACAATTTGAAGCAATTTTGGGACATTACTTCTAAAAGGCTAAATACGTTGTTTATTGAGAAAGACGAAGCATGAGACACAAATGAAGGTGTATTTCCTCCCAAAACTGAAAAGCTCTACTTTGCTTGATGGGAAAAAGTATATTCTCCTGTTTGTTTTGTGGAAGTTAATTTTCTATTATTTTCTCTTTCTTCTGCTGCATTACATCGTATTTATGCAGAAGTCTCTGACTACCTCAAGTGACGGCAAATAAAGGAATTTCGGTCTTTTGACAGCTGAGAACCAAATCTTCATTCTAAGGCAGTCTCTAAAGGGAAGGAAATTGTCTGAAAGAGGAAAACATGTTAAGGCCAAAGTGCCACAGCAAAATCTCCGGTCTCACAAACTCCCATCATCAGATTCCTGCCAATGGGTGCATGCAAAAAGTTTTGCTACAATAATCTGTGTGTATTATGATGGATCACCAAGGCAACAAAGCCTTTTTCCCCCCGATCGGTCTCAAGGTAGTTTTAAAGGTAGGATATTATCACCTTCCTCAAATTGCTCTTCTTTTGAATTCCTGACTACTGCAGTCTGTGAGGCAATTTTAGCACCCTTGGGACTACAGATAATACACAGGAACTTCAATCAGCTCTGCACATTCGCTATCCTGTCTCTCTGATTACTGTTGAATTCATTTTACAGGAGTAATACCTCCCAGAAATCTCCATAGATGTGAGGAGATCAGTGATACCCAGTGTAGAGTTCCTTCTCCCCGCCTCCTCGCATTGCCTCAAGTTGCCGTTTGCCATTGACACAGACTTTGCAATTTTTAGGCACGTACCCAGCCCAGTGTTTCTGCTTAAATAAGAATGAAGGGTCTGGGTTTTTAAATTCAGGGGAGGGGTTTTGCATTAGTCCAGGAGCTATGAGTCTGCAAAAGTCAAATGCACTTCATTTAAAAGCAAGGAATGAAGACACGATCTGTTTTGACTGACATGAGACATTCTTATGTTCAGCACTGATGGTTGGGCTCGATCATCTTAAAGGTCTTTTCCAACAACAAACATTCCATGATCTTTAAACCACCTTTGGCCAGTGTAAAAATCAGCTAGGCCAAAGCGTAAAGACCAGCCATTTCTATTGGATACTGGAAAATGTACGTCTATTAGGGTCTCAGCGTGGCACAGGGACGCTCAACAACTGCATTCATTGCAAACTTACTCTCATTTTAGTAGTAATTTTAGGACAAAACTTTTTAGCCTCTTTCCCCAGCCTTGCAAGACTTCTATGTAAATGCGGGAATTTTATGGAATAAATATAACTTCTCCCTATTGTACTTTCACCTAGTTCATCAAGGAACGATGCAAACCACCCCACAGAACATGAGCACACGCTGCTGCTGAGGGCAGTGCTGATGCTTGGCCATTAATTCATCATTTCTATACTTGCAGTGCCAATCAGCTAATAAAAGAGAAAGCCGGGAACTGACAAACCTGGGTGTCCTTTGAAGCATTTAAGTAGTGAACAATGTGGATTTTCTCTCTAAAACCATCATTATTCAGCAACACCTCTTACCAACTGACTGAGCGCTGGGGTTACATAGCAGTGAGGTGCGATGCTGCTGACTGAATGAAGGTTATCAAGAGATAACCAATTTGGAATGCAGTTGCCCAGTTAAATTACTTCAGGGATGCTTAGACACACTTGCAGCAATGACTCGATGTCAGATATGATTAAGGAAATTCAGCATTTAATTCAAATGTAAATACTTCGAACTGTACGGGAAAAATAAAACACAAACGACTTTCCCAGCAACGTGGTAGATTTACTGGATTTCGGAAAACATTTTTCCAAGTCATTGTAGGAATAATAATTGGGACGTGCTTTCTGAAATTAAAATATTTGTCAAAAACGGGGCTTTTGAAAGCTTTAGAAAGGTATTTCTGTCATGTGAATGGTGTGCCCCACTCTCTGCCCCCAACAGAACCTTGGCTACCTTTAAGAAACACAGCTTGGCCCCAGGTTTCTCACACATCCTTGCCAAGAAGGGCACTGCTAGAACTGATTCTCAAACTGCTGCTGCCTCCTGTATTCTGCTATGTACATCTGTTGTGATGACAAATGCCTCCTGTTGGGCCTGAGGGATTCTCCTCCAAAGCATTACTCAAAATACTCCTGAAGAGACTTTTGGTAGCCATAATTAACATCCCATTGGGTTATGTACCAACAGGCTACGTACTCATTGTGCTAATTACTACTAATTGAGTGGTTGTAATCACATGGCAATAAAATGAGGCAAAATGCAACATTTAGTACTAGTCATACCTCAGTCAGATGCCATGTGTATCCTTGTGTCTTCTAAATCACTTTGTAGATCACTGCCATTTTACAATAAATAAACCTTACTGAAAACACCAGGAAAAAAAGGGTAGAGGTGCATGGTGGCACATATAAATCATTAATTTGTTTTCATGAAGTAATTAGTGATTTATTGTAAATCAAGTTAATCAGAGCATCTGCTATAAGCAAATACCCCAGTGAATTAATTGCCACTTCTTAATGTTATTAACTGTTGTGGCTTTTTACAAAATACTTCTGAAGGAGAAGGAATTCTCAGGGCTTATGAGAACATTTTCTTTGCTTTGATCCACTTGGATTTGTATTCCATGAGCTCTAGATTAAATAAATCCACAGAGAAACATACAGATATCTACACTATATCTATATCTATATCTATAGCTATAGCTATAGCTATATCTAATCTATATCTGTATCTCTCTATATCATCTATATCTATCATCTATATCTATCTCTATATCTCTATACCTCTATCTCTATCTCTATCTATATATCTATATCATCTATATCTATATCTCCCTATATCATCTATATCTATCATCCATATCTATATCTGTATCTCTATATATCTATATCTATATCTGCATCTACATCTATATCATAGAATTATAGAATGTGTTGGGTTGGAAGGGACCTTTAAAGCTCACCCAGTCCAACCCCATATGGGTAAGTGAACAGCACTGCTATCACCCAGATCTGTACGATGCCAATAGGTATCAAATATTCCAATTATGACTGCAGTAGGTCTGTGTTATTGGTATAATTGGTTTTCATTCAGCTTCCAAAACAATTTGTGGGGGGGAAAGATAATGCATGTTTTAACATATTTTGAACTTATCTGTAATTATGTAGATATTCCTCTGCTATCGTTTTACTCCTCTCCTATTGACTCATTGCATGAGGTTTTCTTGTAAATGCAGAGGTTTGTCAAGAGTCATTGCTGCACTTCCAGGACGTGAGAGCAAGGTGGCTTTCATCAGCTGTGACAAGTCTGGAGTACAATGTTCAGTTCTGACTCCTCAGTAGGCACACAACAGATCATGCTTCTGTTCCTGCATTTAAAAAGCTGTGGCTTGCTATCTGTGAGATCCCTGTGTCATAGGACTACTTTTTTGTTCTTAATTATAGTATTAAGGTTTCACGCAGTCTTTTTCGTCTGTGGATTTCGAGGCACAAAACATGAACTAATGGAGTCTTGTGACGCTCCCGTGCTACTCCACTGATTTTATATGACGGATTGCAGAGCAAGTACAGAGTAAGCCAGTGTGGTGAGTTAGGACCAAAGAAAAGATCATGCCAGTGCGGTGAGACCTCCCTCCCACACTTCTGCTAATTACTTGGTCATTAAGGATCTGATCCGGCCTAGTGAGCCCATGGAATTCACTGCAGGAATTAGGTTTAGGGACGATACATTTGAAAGTCTTATTACAGTCAGAAAAATTATGCGTTTCCTTATCCAACAGACCTACTCTGAGTACGGCAAACTACATCGTAAGATGACAACTTTACGTATGCTTCTGAGTATAATCTCATCCTACAGTGAGGAGACTTAAAGCAAGCAGCTACTTAATGCTTACCCCATCCAATTCCATAATAGTACAAGAGCTTGCTCTCTTCTGACCCAAATACTTTGATGACCATGCTGTAAAGATGAAATCCTTCCACCAGCATCCATGCAAAAGCACTCAGGAAGAAAAAATGAAGGAGAATGGCCAAGATCTTGCACGGCACCTAAAGTAAGAACAGAAATTGATGCATTACTTCTTCATCATACAGCCACATTGCTTGTCAATATTATTTTTTATTTATTTGTGTATCATGCGCACACTAAATGCTAAATCACTGGAGTAAAACAGTCTGAAAAACACTGCACAAGAGGTTTTCATTTTTCTACTGCATTTTCAGAGCTTAAATCCTCTTAACTTTTAATAAACACCACAACAAAACTAAAACCATTGCCAAACGTGATGTGGAAATCCAAACTGATCATTTATTTGTTTACAATGGTTGGAGCAATACTCCTACTAAAACCTACAAAATATTTAAGAAGTCAAAACTGAAAGGGCAAGATCCTGTTGCTGAGCCTGTAGTAAATAGAGGAGAGTCAAAGAAGTGGGGGTACAGGCACTGTTCTGTATCCTGCTCTGTGTTTTGTGAAGGTAGAAAAATATAATTCATAATTATATTTATATTATATGTATTTATAAATATACATTTCTATAAATATATATTTTTACATATTTATATTATGAATTATAATCATATAGTTCATGCCTTATTTTCTATGAAGAACTGGGATCAGTTAAGACTGAGTGAAACGTGGGAATTTTAAAATCAGGTCCCTTGTTGAACCTGCTCTTTAGTCACTCTTCGCCATGTGGCTTCCCTGCTTTGCTGTTCTTCATATCAAAAATAGGGTAACACACAAATTAAATCACACTGCATTCTAGAGTCCGTCCTGGCTAGGAATTCTGTAAAAGCCTCCCATTCTCCTCCATCAGCAATACTAATACAGACGTTTCAAAGAGTTATAGTGAGCTATCACTGGCTCTTCAGTCCTAATTGCTCCATGGTGGGCAGCTCGTTCGCCCACGTGTTTAAATTCTCCATTTCCCACAGTCTGACGTACCAGCTGTATATCAGTCATGTTTGCCAGGAACATAGCTAGTAATTAAGGCAAAGAACTGCAAATCTTCTCCGTAGGTGTGTTTGTAGACTATTTGAATGCTCCTTGATAGTCCTTTATTCCCCATGTGCTATCAAGATGCTGGAAACAGGAGTTAATGCAAAAATCTAAGCAGCAGGAAGAAACATCTAGAAAGTGAGCCCACCTGGTGTAAACGGGACTACTTGTTTCCAGTTCAACTAGAAGGTGTTTTGAAGTGAAATAAGTGCAGCCCCAAAAGAGAGGAGTGCCATGGCTAAGGCAATGCAGCAAGAAGTAAAAACTAACATCCTCTTGAGTCCCGTTCACAGCCACCTCACTGTGGCTGCAGGAAATGCAGTCTGGGCTCAGGACTTGGATGCTCCTCAAGTTATTCTTCAAAAAGTCTTCACATTTTCCTCTAAGTCTCCTACCAGCCCACCTTATGACAACAGGGAAGCTTAATCCTTTCCTCTTTCCCACCCCTCACGTATCTGTACAGCACGCTCTCCTTTCCGCACTAACTGCTTTTTGAGGATGTCTCTTCACCAGTGGTTTCGCTCATTGTTCAGTAATTGAACAGATGTGAGTGCCAGCGATCCTACCACAAGATAACCTTGTTTGCTTTGCTTGCCGTTCAGGCACATTTTAAACGCGCTCCTGGAACGGGTCCCAGCCGTATCTCGGCTTTGCATCTTGTTGCATACAGATGACGGCCATTCTGCTCTGGAGTTGTAACATCCTTGCTGTGACACCCACAGAATTGCAGGGGGGTTGCTTGCATGCAGTCCAGGTAAATATTCGGGTTTATCTTCAAGGTTTTCCTTCCTCACCTGGACAAGTCACAGGATGGTGGAGACCGTGCATTACTACCAGTAGGAACCAGTTTGCTGCCACAGTGGTCTTCAGGCATTAATCATTAGTTCCCTTTGTTGCATTAATTTAACCGCCCTGTGCCAGCATTTTATTCATCTTGTTGGCGGTTCCAGATTTTATACACTAATGAAAATTAAAATGTTGGGACTTGACAGTATAATGGAAATGGAAGCTTTCTCGTACCTTCTCGCTTGTACTCAGCCGGTTCGGTGCAAGGACATTTTAATGCAAATCCACTGTGACTTCAGGTATTAAAAAGCAATAACTTTGGGTTTAATTCGTGTAAGTGAGATCTGTAAGTGTTTTAGCATTTTGCAATGTTTGGTGACATATAACCAAACCAGATTTGTTTGTTGACAAAAAAACGTAAAAACCCTTCCAGTTAATTTTATGATAAGCTATGAAATCCATTTTAATGCCTTTTGATTTCTACCAGAAGATTAGTTCACAAAAGTATAAATGCAACACAAAGCTGATTTACAAGCTAGTTCTGTCAAATGGATCCTTTCCAATGTTTGAGTAGCCAAACAATATGAATCAGAAAATAGCAGAAAAAGAAAACATAGTGGAGTAACAGGAGGCTCGTCTGTACATAATTTTGTATATATTTATATAAAATCCACAGCAAAGTTGCTACTCAATCTGTATTTGTGCCTTAATTATTACTTTGAAGATACTCTTAAATTACAGAATTGCCTTGAAAAAGGCATTGAAAAGCTGAGACTTCACATATTAAAGAGAAGCAGATGTCCCTTGCTGCATGACATGATGCACACTACTTTTAGTAGTATATTAGACCTGTAAAAGCCAAATCTCATTACTGTTACTCTTAGAGCTGACTACTCGCGAGTCTGTGGAAATAGAAAAACCCGTCCAGCCAGCAGCAAGGCCGATGAAGTTATCATTGTGGAGGAAGTAAAGCAGAACCTCAGAAAATAATAATAATTTGTTGTCTTAAAGCAGATCAATACATTTGCATACATTTTCTAAATTCAACTTGCAGTAGTGTTTTCAAGTGGCAATCTTACTGCACCATGCAGAACCCTCCGGAAATGTCTTTCCCTGCAATCTATGTGCTGCTTTGATAAACAGCCTCGGATTTCTGCAGATGCATCTGTCATTTAAAAAAACGGCTCGTTTCATCTCTCCATTTGGAAGTGTTTTAAGCAATGCCATGCAGGACTGAGCGAGAAACCGCTCAATACACTGATGCAGAACTGCAAATAGCAGACATTAAATTTACCAGTTGTGCTGGGAAAACACAGCGCTGCCTAACACGCTTCCATTTCCACTTTCCTATGTCTAAATAATGCCCCACTTCATCCCACAAACCTGCTCAGGTCTTTGGAAAGCTTCAGTAGCCTAAAGAAATGCTGGTGGTTGATTATTTTTTAATGCACACTGCTGTTTGGGATTCTGTTAAAAAGAGTCTATAGCAAAGTCTAGTCTAGACCAGACTCTGTAGCAAAGAGTAAGTAACCCAGACAGCAAACCTCTCTGAAGAAACAAATCTATTAATTCTAAGGGAAGTCATTAAACTGGCACGCAGGTAGCAAAGATACTTTAGGGACTTGGCAGTGCAGGAAGAAAATGCTGTGCACTAAGATATTTGCTTTCTCCAGAAGGAAGATATCCTGTTTTCAGGAATAATTGCCTTCCTGGAATATGCTGTGATCATTTAGGACTACAGTGTTAGCACTGCTGATGGTAGGTGTCAAGGACCAGCTCTGGAAAAAATAAAGGTATTTTTGGATGTATTAGAAAGATCAAAATCCTATTTGTGGAAAGGGAGTTTTGAGGTCAACCTCTACTCTACAGAAAGAAAAATTGCTGTAGTACTAATTGTAAATTATTAAATAATACATCTGAAATTACCAGGGGAATACTATATGACATATCTGGAATCAAAAACGAAATGTCCCTAGGGACAAAAAGGATGGAGTCTAAAGGCAAGAGAGCGATGCTGGCTCAGGGCCTGTTTCTCCTACGCTGTTTCTATGCAGTTTCTCCTATGCCATTCCCTATCTGCAATTCCTCAAACTGGTACCACTGGTCCTCCCAAGCAAGGGCACTTACGGCCTCTTTAGCACCAGATACACCCATCTTTGGCAGAAGACAAAGACATTTACACCTTCTAGGGTAAATACTGCCTCCCTTTTCTTGTAAACTACCGTTCAGCAGTCCAATTAAAGTTGCAATTAAAGCTATTAAGACTGAAGCCAAAGCCAGTGAGGACAGCCCGTGCAGAGGGGAAGGACATGAGATTAAGACAAGAGTGAATCACAGCACCCCAGAGGTTAAAACAATAAATATAAAAGTGTAGCAGACAGGTTGTACATCCTGCCTTTCAACTGTAAGGTCTTTACAACACCGTGCCCTACAATTGCTGCTGTTATAGAGACAGGGCCGAAATATCCATGGATTCTGTGAGGTGTTTCGCTTAAGAAAGTCTGTGGGACAAAACAGGTCTTGCTTTCTGTATGCTACTGTTTCAATTTAACTAAAGTAAGTTTTTAATAGGCTTAAGAGAAATAAAAATATGCATCTATTGAACCACAACTTAAGTCTATGTTAGCATTTTGCAAGCATAGCTAAACAAGGCACAGGATAAATGTAGGTGGACACTGGGACAGGTCCACGGAGAACACCTACATCCAACCGAGAACAGGGAACACATCTTGTATTTCATAGTTTTAATAGACTGGAGGTGATGCTGGCCTCGATAAGGTGTAAAGAGGCTTTTGCACATTCTCTGAAGTGACTCAGATCATCTGAAAGAGGAAAAGCTGTGAGAATAAGACACCCTGTAATGCTGAGTGAACATTAGGGCCCTGGAGCTTGTGTCCCTTCAGCTCTACACATAGAGAGGATTATTTCAATGCCTGGTTTCCACTGTCTTCAGTTTCAAGCTATATCTTTTGCCGCTCTCCATTGTCTCCGTTTCAATTTCCTCCTAAATCGTTCCCTACCATTTTCCCCCTTGCACATTATCTTACTCATTCAGGACCTACCTGAATGTTAAACAGCAGAAGAGCACGAACTTAGTTTCACAAAGTGCTTTTAGATCCTCGGGTAATAACAGCCTATGTAAAAGATTAATAGAAACTGCTTGCTGCTTGTCAAAAGTAATGCGGAGCAACGGCTGGTTACCCAAGTAGGCAAGTTCTGACCATTACAAAAACAGCACACTGGAAAATTGTGTTAAAATCAGGTTTTGTTTCTGCTCTTTGCGGGTAGGACTTTCCCTCAAAAGAGCTTATATCACTTTAAAGAGCGTTTTTAAAGGACAACAGTAGAAACAAATTGGTTTTACTGATATGTAACACTGTTAACTTGCCATATTTGTCTTAACCCAGCCCAGCTGTTCTAGATGCCAGTTTTAAAGGTCTAGATCCTGGTATCCTGCACAAGGAATCCCCACCTGCAGTAGCAGATCCATAAGCTCAATGTGTGATTTCAAGTCCCAGTCTATGTGATCAGGCAGAAAAATCCTACACATGCATAGAGCTTAAGTACCTCATGAACACTGTGAAGGTGTGTGTCATTTCCTAAGGGGTTGCTTTAGACGCCCAGAGAAGTATATACGTGTTTTACCATACCAAGGAACTCAGAGTAAACTCTTACACAGCGATACTTAGGGGTAATGCTTTCTACCACCTCTGGCTAATTAAGCAATAGTTGCTATATCCTTCTCATTGATTATTACTCAGGTCAAATAAGCATGAATAATATCTAAAAATCATCTAAATTGCCAGAGTAGAGATCACGATCAATAAATCTGCTGCTCAGGAAAACAGCGTATTCTACCACACAAGTAAAACTTTATGAGCGAGACCCAAAGACCTTCTGGTTTGCTCTCCAAGAAAGCAGAAGAAATTGCCACAGCTGTTGTGGGATGCCATTTTTGGCTAAGGCACGTTAAAAATAGGATATCTCACATGCAAGATGCTTGTTTGCATGTGGTACCTGGCATCTCTTGCATGGAGGTGCCTCGCAATCACTCTTTATAGCACTCACCGTCCCAGGGCTGAACTGAAAGCTGGTGAGCAGCAGGATCTGAGCCACCAAGACAGCAAAGGACAGGTTGGCATGGATGTGATAGCGCTGGTTGCGCATGGTGCTGACAGACCTGGCAGGAGATGGAAAGATATGTGAATAACACCGTATTGCGAGAAGAACAGAGGTTTTATCGTTTATCAGCAAGCATTTGGATTGGGTTTTGGACTTTGGCGTTGGTGGGGTTATCGTGATGCCTTCTGAGCGCTCCTTTGGCCAGGATGGTGTGGTACCCAGCTGGGTTCTGAGATATCCTGCAGGCGGCAGACAAACTGATGAGCACATTAACTAGCTCTGTGATAGAATATTAACACAGGGCTCGATCCTGCAGGGTGCTGCGCTGTTGAGAAAGCCAGATCTGCCCCTTACAGAAGGCATATTGCACCTTGCAGCACATAGCCCACACTGTGCCACAGAGCTTCTGGTTTTATTTCGTTGGTATTTGCCTGTATTGGAAATAAGGGAATGTGAAAAGACATTGATTACTATTTTGAATTTACTTTTATCAGCTTTTAAGCACAGGAACTATAGCTCCTTACAGGGATGGGCAGTGCCTATCTTGACAGACACTGACTTTGATTACAAGATCATTTGAATCCATTTCTCTCTGCTTTGCAAAACCCAGCTGGAAATCTGACAGGAACACGCTTTCCTGGAAGTCTTCTGACCCTGTGTTTCTGTTCTCATCCAGAAATAGGAAGTGGAAAACAAACAAAACCATTTATCTGAACATTCGCATAAATTTATTCTTCTTTTTAAGAAAAGAACAGTACTAGTGATAGCAGCTTTTCTGTTTCAATCACACTGCCTGCCAGCCCCTAAGATTGGCTTTAATAACTTCAGGAGACCTGGGCTGTTTGGCCATGGGAGCGGCAGTGCCTCCTCCACACAGCAGGACACACTCCCATCGTTTTGGTGTATCACAGAGGATGGTGATGACTTCCACAGCCGCTGGTGACACACGGTCCGTGTCCCCTGCAGCAGGGTGACACAGGCCGGGTGATGCAGATGGTGCCTCGCGGTCAGCCCTGCTCTTCCAGCATTGGTGTAGCCAGGGAGGGAAGAGGGAGACGACAAGAAGCATCGATGTCCTAAAAGTAATTCAAAGAGACAGGCAGCGCTGCTGCTTTCTAATAAGGAGCTTCACGGAGTCACAAAGTGGAACACGGTCAGGCAGAAGGCACTCGGGCCTGCCCTCCTGGGAGGCAGCCAGCATGCGGAGGAGAAGAGAACTTGCCACGTTCCTCTCCGCTTACCTCATGGTCATCTACACCACATTGCAAAACTTCACATCAGCTGCTTAATGAGGCCCTGCTTTCCAGTGAAAACCTAATCAAATTATTTTTAATTGGCAGTTTAAATAAGCCTGTATGTAGGTGGGGTGCCTAGCCCTGTGACAGTCAGCTGGGTCCAAGCTTTTTTTCCCAGTCTTCTGTTTGCCTCTGGTTTCTTGAGGAGTTTTCAGCCCCGCTGCAGCAAAACCATCTCCTTTTGCTCCTTTTCCCTTCCAAAACACTACAGCATCCAGTTTTGCACTCAGACAAAAATGGAGCAGATCATTCTCCTTATCCTGAACATGTGAACAGCACAATGCCAGATTTGGCAGACATTGAACGTATTTAGAGTGGATTTCGTCACGCGTTATGCACTTAATCCAAGTATGACCAACACAGAGACTTGAAAATAATATGGGGTTTGGAACAAACAGACATTACAATCAGTTTGCTGGGTTTCAGCAAGTCCTTTTTCCTAGAAACCGTACCTGTAGCAGGATGTCCAAAAGTCATCCTTAGGCACGGCAATAAGAAATTGAACTCCTTAGTAGGATGAACATGGTTTAGTGTGTGAAGGGAGACACAAATCCCACTCCTCACCGTGCTCCCAAACTCCTGTGCAACCTCAGGCAAGTTGCCTCACCCTTGGTCAGATTATTTTTCATTATTTAGACAGAAACCTCCATGAAAGCTCTCCCAGAAATGTTTGTATCAAGGCTCACTGGGTCTCTCACTCAGCTGTCAATACGGGAATATGGACAGGTATCATGACCCCAAGTGCCCCATAACAGAAACCTTCCCTCAAGGGCTCAGGGGCTGCTGTGATACAGGCAGGAGGCTGCAGAGATCCAGAGGTTTTCAGCCTAAGCCATGGAGTGAATTTCACACTGCCTATAGTGTCCTTCATCCTACTAAAGCAACACATGAGAAAACCAGCCTAACAGCTAGATACTTGAAAATAAATGTGGGTTATCAGGTGTAGCTGTGTACAAGCTGTATGAAACAACAGTGAGGCAGCTAATGTTGACTGAGCCTTCCTTTCTAGGTGTATCTTTATAAACACACCCCTTACAGACAAGACAGCTGGAAAGCAGAAAGAAGCACTGATTGTATGCTCCAAGCAACCCAAAGGTCTGCGTAGGGGAATAGAGGGGTGGATCCTGCTGTCCTTGCTCATGTTGGACTTGCTTTGAGCTCCAGACCAAGCCCTCCTGCAAGACTCCTGAACAAAACATGGAGAGCTTAAAAATACTCCAAAAATCCCTCATAGGATGGAAATAGCTTGCTATATAAAGACCACCCCACTCCAGCGATTGAAAAGTAATTTAGAAATAACCAGCCAACTGTTACAAATACATGTGCAGAATCTAATTAAGGAAGGTTGTAGAATTAATAGCCTCTGTTTATCCCGAGCACCTGAAGGGGTCCTAACCAGTGGCCCGAAATGCACCGCTTGGCTTTTTGCGTGGCAGCTGCTCAGAGGCGTTCAGCTGAAATTACTCACGACAAGACAGCGAATGTGACCAGTGTGATCGTCAGGCAGAAGATGGACAGGGCACAGCCAATGTAAGTGATGGAGGAGAGGGCCACCTGGTGTTCTCTTGTGAGCTGTACACAAATAATAACGAAAAAAAAAAGAAATAAAAATTATTAATTGATTTATGACACTGCAGAAGCACAGGGCAGCCCCCCTGCACACAGAATTTCCTCTGCCATTCGCCCATGTATAAGATGATGTTCACAACCGTTCGCTGATGTTTCTAACATGGGAAATGAATCACAGAATCACAGAATATGAGGAGTTGGCAGGGACCTGGAGGCCTCCCCCAGTGCACCCCCTGCCACAGCAGGATCACCAGAGCAGTCACACAGGAACACGGCCAGGGCTTTGGGTGTCTCCACACAAGGAGACTCCACAACCTCTCTGGGCAGCCTGGGCCATGCTCCAGAACCCTCACACTCACAAACTTTGGCCTCATCTTCAGCTTGAACCTCCTGTGCTCCAGCTTGGGACCATTGCCCCTTGTCCTGGCATTGGCCATCCCAGAGCAGAGCCTGGCTCCTTCCTCCTGACACTGCCCTTTCCCAATGGATCCCCAGGAATGAGGGCACCCCTCAGTCTCCTCTGCTCCAAGCTCAAGAGCCCCAGCTCCCTCAGCCGCTCCTCAGCAGGAGATGCTCCACCCAACTCCAAACTCAGTTGCACAGCCAGGGCATCCACTTGCCCGTGGCATTTTGGTTCCCTTTCTTATTGCATAAAGCAGAATGAGACAGTTTCTCTGCTGCTGTGATATTTTCAAGCCTGAGATTAGAGCGCGTTATTGGGCTGCACAAAGGGTGTCAGCTATGGGATCTCACACAGCTCGCAGGGCACTGTGCTAATGCTCTCACGCTGCAATAATTTACACCACTGTGCAAATACCAGGAGTGCTTCCCAGCAGCGAGAACTGACAAACCGAGATAAACCATCAATCATGGGCCGTTTACAGCTTTGTTTAATGTATCACGATGTCAGTGCCTGTCGAGGAGCTGGGCTGACATCCACGGAATGGAAACGCGCAGCAAAGCCCCGGCAGGAGCAGTCAGTGTGCGCCTCTCCTCTCAGCCCCCGTTCTTATCTACAGGCGTGTTTTGTGGAACTAATTCAATTTTCATGACCGTTTCATCTGTAACCCCATAGTGCCCATATAGGATCTGTGTCACAACCCAGATACATTCAGTGGGGGAGGGACAGTGTGTTTTGACCATTAATCCTTATGAGGAGCGGCTGAGGGAGCTGGGGCTCTTTAGTTTGCAGAAGAGGAGACTGAGGGGAGACCTCATTCATGTTTATAAATATTTAAAGGGTGAGTGTCACGAGGATGGAGCCAGGCTCTTCTCGGTGACAAACAATGACAGGACAAGGGGTAACGGACACAAACTGGAACACAGGAGGTTCCACTTCAATTGGAGAAGAAACTTCTTCTCAGTGAGGGTGACAGAGCACTGGCCCAGGCTGCCCAGAGAGGTTGCGGAGTCTCCTTCTCTGCAGACATTCAAAACCCGCCTGGACGCCTTCCTGTGTAACCTCATCTGGGTGTTCCTGCTCCGGCAGGGGGATTGGACTGGATGAGCTTTTGAGGACCCTTCCAATCCCTAACGTCCTGTGATTCTGTGATTCTGTGATCCCAAATTAATCAGAAATCGTGCTTTAATTTTCCAGGCAAGTCCTCATAACAGAAGGACAATAAAGCCCCACCCAACGAAGGCAGCCAGGCAGCGTTCATGTACAATCAGTAGAGCGGAGCTGGGCAGGGAGAAGTTTTCTCATCCCAGAAACATTTCCAAACATTTTTGCTGACGTGAATTTGGACGGAGTTGACATTTTCATAAACGGAGCATTTGAAAAAAAATATATGCTCCATCAAAACGTTTTAATTTTGACACTTGAAATACTGTTTTTATTTCAATATCTATTAGCTATAAACTAAATTCCTAGCCGAAAACTCATTCAAAATATTTATTTATTCTGAAAAATACTAAAAGGAGCAATATATTTTCCAATTATTTTTTTTTTACAGTAACTCTAATAAAAAATAATCCCTTCTCACAGTTTGGGATTTTCTATTATTTTCCACACACACAGTAAAAATTCCCCCCCTCCCAAACAAATTATTTCATTAGAGATTATCAAAGTCAACCCATTCTACCAATAAAATTCCCATTAAAACTCCTTTTAAGAGAGAGAAATAGCATTATAGTTATGAATTTAAAAAGCCATTTTAAATACAGACAAACACGATGTGTTGAATATGGACATTTTTCTTGTCATTATCTGCAGCTCACGTGCAGCAAACCTCATGCAGAATGGACTGTGGCTCACCCAGCAACCTGAGATTAATCTGATACTGAGCGATGCAGCAGCAGCACCGAAAGACAACAGTTGCTATGGTGTTACAGCTCCTAGGAAATATGCAGCAGCTCTTGAGGAGTTTTTCTCTTTCACGTTTCTTTTCCCTGACTTGGACAGCATCAATTACAGAAACAAAAGGGCTCTGTGTTCTGGGCCAGTGTAAAAGGTCCTTATAATTCCTACAAAAGAGCTCCTATCGCCCCTCATCCCCCGGAGAAGCCATGTATAGCCCTTCTCCACGGATTATTCCTGAAATAGGAATAACCCGTGTGGTAAACTGGGGAATGTGGTAAACTGGGCAGTTTTAGGGATATTCATGTCCAAAATGCAAAGACATTGTACTCTGCTTGCTCCAATGCACATCCCCTTCCCTTGCTACAGATGCCTTGCAGTTCTACAGAGGGAGCTGAGGAAGCTGTTCCAGCTTCAAGTCACTCTGAAATTGGTATTTCTCAGCCATTCAAGGCTTCCTTTCACTCCTTTCACTCCCAACACCTGCAATCAGAAAACGTTCCCTGCAGAGGTCAAAGCTGCTCAGTGCTCAGTTAGATTTACAGGGGCCTATCCCAGCCTCTGCCTTGGCAAAGGCAAGGTAATGTCTCGCTAGCACGTACAAGTACAGGAGATACAGGGGATCCATCTAGTGGAAATGGGCAAAAATCAAAGCCTGTGGCTTTTTTCCCATCATAATCCAAGAGAAGATAATGATCACGCAAACATATTATTCTAATTAATTTGTATCATCACTAACGTGCCTCTAATAAAGCCTTTCTCTGGGTTTTAGCTCAGTCTTCGCCCAGGGTAAGGCAGCACATGAGTCAGGTTCTCCCAGGTGGAGCCCATGCTACTTAAAAATGAAAAAGTAAAGAAAATAAATCTCAAATAAATCAACAAAGCACAGAAGATTCATTCAAACTTAAAATAACCCACGTAAGTCCCCACATCTATGGACCGGAAATTGCTCTTGCTCGGATAAACGCAACCAAAATCCGATGATGCTTTAAGAACGGCGCTCTTAAACCAATACCCACATCAGTCTGGTGACAACCATTTCAAAAGCAACACATAGTTCATATTGTCACCTTCCTCATGTGAGGGACAGAAAGCCTGCAGGTAGTGTTGAACCACTTTCTGTTCATTAAGGAAGCGGTGGAGTCAGTGCCAGCTGTTCCCAAATTGAGCGGTGGGGCTGGAGGGGTGCAAGAGAGGGGCACAGCTCCCTTCTGTGGGTGATGGGGTCTGCAGGGGGAGGATGCAGCATGAGAAGGCCTGGAATCTCATTTCTAAATACAGGTACATGGTGCAGAGAGAAGAGAACCTGTATTTAAAATATTGGGTGTGTAAAATATCAAGTCTCTACTAACATCTCACAACCCAGCTATCAGAGCACAGCTGGATGTGGTGTCTGTGTGCACGCTGCAAGGGATCAAAAGCACGCGGGTTTTCAGAAATATCTGGATTCTCAAAGCATTCTGCATCACCAATTAAGAAACAACTTCCTATAAATTCCAATGCTCTGATGAGAGCTGATTTCATCTTACCTCAGCCTGGCTTTCTGAAAGTTTTCAGACTTCATGCATGATGTGGAATACAAGATGGTAATTTGGGATGATCTTGTAGTCAGCACAAAAATGCTAATCAGGCCGTAATGCTATTACTAAAGAAAATAGCATTAAAAAGTACCAAATAAAGCAGCGAGCAATCTGTGAAGTAGTCCCATGAGCCTGACTCTCACACTTGCCCCAATCTGCATTAAATTATTCTTTTCTTCTAAAAGGTTTTGCTTCTTATAAGGTCATTCTCTTACTCTGCAGAGAGCAGAAAAGCTAGGAAAAGAGCTTGTGCAGTAATTAGTGTTAGTAATCATGAATGCTGAACGAGAGGTGTTTCAGGCTTGGCAAGCAGTCAGATCAAAACTTCATATCCCATATAAAACTCCCACCCTTCAGTGCAGGCTGTAACACCCTTCACCTTGCAAGGGTCGCTAAGAGCATGTACAAGGATCTGGTGGTTTCAGTGGTTATCTGCAACATTACAGTCGTGTTCTCCCTCATCAAAGTCAATACATTGCTCCACATTTTTAGTTTGGAAACTCACGGGCAATCAGATGGCCTGAGAAATAATCCTGGAAAGGTACAAGTCCAGACTCCAAATATATATTTTTCCTCTCTATATTTAT